GGCACCACCCCACCCTCACCAGTGAATCAGCACTTTTTAAACTCCAGAGTTAAAAAAACAAGGATCAAGAAATCACACACCCACATTGCAACATCCTCGGCAATAACTCAACACATGCAACAAATAGCAATTGCAAATGGCAAACACAACAACTTGTTTATGATCACAGGTTGGTGCCCCACCAAAGATATAATCAAAGAATAACCTTGATTATATCATTACAATGGCACTTGTCAAGGGTTGGGAGATATTAGGCAGAAAGTGAAAAGTCAGTTCTTGAATTTAATGTGTTGGAAGCAGGGAAAATGAGCAAGCGAAAAAATCCGAGTGACTTTGACAAGGGCCATATAGTGATGGCTAGACGACTGGGTCAGAGTATCTCCAAAACACCAAGTCTCGTGGTGTGTTCCCCGAATGCAGTGGTTGGTTAGTAACTAACAAAAGTGGTGCAAGGAAGGACAACCGGTGAACCGGCATCAGGGTCATAGGCCTCCAAGGAAAGGCTAGCCAATCTGGTCCAATCACACAGAATTACCCTTACACTTTTTTGGAGCTTAAAATCAGCTCGACATATATACGCCTGGATTGTACAATTCCCATCTACGGATGTGCAGATGGTCCTGGTCCTGTGTTGAGAAATGTCTCTATGCTGATATGTATCATATGGTAGTCAGCATTTATAAAAGGCAGATGTTGTTCCTATATTTTAAAAGGGTTCAAATTCCTTGCCTGGAAATTATAGACCTGTGAGCTTAACTTAGAAATATTTGAAGGGCTATTAAGGGATACTATTCAGGAATTCATTTGAAGAACTTTGTTATTAGCAATTATCAGCATGGTTTTATGAAACATAGGTCATGTCAAACTAACCTAATTGCATTCTACGAGGAAGTAAGTGCTCTCTTTCAGTGTGCCTTATTGCAGCGGTAGGGATCCACCAGTATATTAAATGAAAAAAACAGCATATAGCGCTTTCTGTATTGTTCAAATAATAAATAGATAAAAGAAGATGCACTCCCAGAAGGAGCGCAAAATAGGTTTTGCTTAATCCTAAACAGCATAGATAGTATCTTCCCCACAAAGGAAATAAAAAATGTGAATCATCCAAATAAAATCTTTAAGGATAAGATCAAGAAGGTCCAAATTCGATACAAAACTAGTTTTATTTGAAACAAAAAATAAATATAATAAAACCAATATATAACATAAATCACTTGCGCGTTTCGCCCTCAGTATAGCTTTTTGTTGTGGTCGATCAGTGTATAAATTACTGTATATATCTGTATATTTTACATTTTTATTAGTATTTATTCATTGTAATTGTCCTCACGAAGGTCCCAAAAGAGAACTGAAAAACATATTTTAACTTGTATGGCAGTATACTATAATAAATTAATATCATGGTAAGCCCTCGACTGCTGGTAGCTTTTTCATACATAGCCACTGGCAAGTGAATATTTATCCTTGGTGAGTAGAAGTTTGTCCCTGGTACAATGGGTCTTCCAGCCTTATCATGGTGAGTACTGTTTAAAGCCCGACTAGTGGTTTCAATTTGTAAACCCTAAAACAACTTGATTACTAAAACGCCCTAGCTGTCCATATAAGATGATGAGGTGGTGGGTTTTAAAAAAAATATTAGGTGAGACTGAGTGCTTTAGGATGGGCAGAAAAAAACTGAAGAAACTCCATCGAAATCAGTCAGTATCCAAAACAAATTGACAACTTCTGTTTCTGGGAGCAGTAACTTCCATCCTGTTTTGGACTTTTTTTTAAAATTGCCGATCAATGTTTTAATACGTTCTATTATACTTACCAATACCTATCTATACTTATAGAGAGAAAAACATGTAGCAATAGAGGTGAGAACGGACAACAGCTCAATTAGCCTACCCTTCGGTGGGTCCCCGCTCAGATCTGAAGATGGTTTTCTCTATAATGGCACAAGATGAGCTAAAACCAGCTTGAGAACTGAGCAGGGACCCACCGAAGGGCAGGATAATTGAGCTATTGTCCGTTCTTAGCACTTTCTTGCAACTTGTTTTTTTGCTATCTATACTTATAGTCTGAGTTTGTTTTACTTACAATGAATCTGTCCATTTTAAATATAGGGAGGTAGGCAAAACAAAGGTGTATGTACGTACAGATTTAATTATAAACACATTAAGTGAGAAATGCCCAGGTCAGTATTAGAAACAAATTCATGTTTTAAAGGGCGCAGTACACTTTGCAACCTTTCAGTTTGGTGATGGTGCTGTTTCCTATAACTAAAAGCATCACTCTCAGACTCAAGATGGGTTTATTCATTAAACCCCAAGTTAAAATCCAATTTACAAAATAAAGATTTTTTTCAAATCAGTTATTTTTATGTTAGATTTAAGTTTTGGGATTTTAATTTGCTCCAGTCTGGAGTTTCCAACATATAAGATCCAGTATGCTCACTCATTCACTGTTTTTATTGTTATTATCGGCATTTATATAGAGCGAACTTATCCGCAGCGCTTTACAATATTATAAAGGGGGAAATTTAACAATAAATGAGACAATTAAAAAATGTTACTGGAACAATGGGTTGATGAGGACCCTGTTCAAAAGAGCTTACAGTCTAGACGTAAACAGCAACTTTAAAGCTCACAATTTTCTTTTTTAACTTTTTTTTTTTTTTAAGTCTGACTTTAGGCAAAAATAATGACTGTTAACTTACAGTATATGGTGGATACACTGGATAAGCCTGCCATAATTCCAATGTACCCCATTTTTTTGCGTGTCCGACTCTAGCAATCTAATACCTGGTCTTAAGATATTTATCCACTTACTTGGGAAATGCTTTCTCCGGGGGCTCTCTGTAGGTGTAGGTTAAATAGGGCCCTTGAATGAGGTACCTGTGACAAGTGAATGAGTGAGCTTTGAAATTGCTGTTTAGTGAGTTAGTGAGTGCACTGGATCTTGTATGTTTGAATTGAATTGTATGATGAATTGGCTCCAGCGGCACCCTTATAATGAATGAATGTTTAGGTGAGTGCAGTGACCCTGGTTTCACAGTTTGGAGTTTATGGAATAAATAACAACAAGCCACACTAAAATGGCACACAGAAAAGCATATACAGCACAATATGTCCACAATCTGTGAAAAACACCTATACTTGTGTTATTTATTGAGGTTACAGTGTACTTCACCACCTGTCCACTAGGTGGTGATGCTGTTTGCTCCAGGTGAAAGCAAGAGGTGTCTAGAATCATCTTATCTATAGCAAACTACATTGTTAGACACTTAAAAACTATACAATGGGGGGGGCGGGGCCTGACAGCCATGATGGCCGCACGTACTCCTTGAGAGCTCCTGCACCAGCAAGCAAACAAACGTGCATCCTGACTAAACTGCCCATGCTGGTGGCACAAAAAGCCCCAAAAACAGAGTGGAACCGCATGGGGAGCATAACGATACCCGTCATGTACCACTGCACACTGCGGGCACATGGACCGGCCACGCGGCCTACACTGGAGCGGAGCCCGAGGTCTGGGGGAGACGGCCGACCCCCCGGCACGAGACCTGCTCACAAGCGAGCGTTGACTACTGCCCTGCTACCCCCCCCTCTGGACCGGCGGGGGATATCCCGGTCCTCGCTGGGGACGATCACCCCAGCAAAGCAGACTAAACAAGCGACCAAATCTACAATCAAACGAGATAATAGAAACGCAACCAAGATGGCGGCCAAGGCGCGTCCGGCGCCAAAATGCACCCTTGTTCAGCCACCCAAGCACACCCAGGAGTTCTTCGCCCGGCTATGTAACAGCCTATGGACGAGGCTCCGCACTAAGGGCCGATCCTTCCATCTCGCCATGAGAACAGCGGTGGCATGGATCCGGCCGACTACACAGCGACACCTGTGCACATTCTCCCCACGAGCTCCCAGGGGGGCCTTCAGTCAGAGACAGAGGCGGGAGGCGAGAAGGCGAGGAAGGGCAACAGATCCCTCAGACGCCGACACTCAGCTTCACATGCACCACAGCAAGACCACTCCCCACACAGCGGCGCAGAAAAACACCAACCGCCGAAAAGCAACCCCACGGATGAAGATCCACGAGATCCAACCTCCGGCCAGCGTAAGCCAAATGTGGAGAGCACCTCCGAGACGAAGGAAGGACGGAACTCTACAGCGGCACCAACTCTGCCATTGCCCTTCGCCCACCCATCAAGCCCCCACCGCAGACCGACCAGAACAAGCCGCGCAGAGAATAGACACAGGAATCGGCTGACTGCTGAACGGGGCCGCCGAGCTGCACCTACCTGAGCACTATGAGACACTGAGCTTTGCGGCAGCTAGCTCCATGCTAGAGGACTCTTGTAAGCCAACCAGATGAAGCATTTAAGCTAGTACTCATGTTTCGATATGACCTGTAGGTTAGCCTGGTTATTGACTAGGAAGTTAACTTTAAATGGCCTCACCTAGCCCATCTTAAACGTAGGATTCAATAGTTACCTGCATAAGATTAATAGCTTTGTTTTAGCATGAGCCCAGTTTATTAACATGTATGCTACTGTTACTTTAGTTGTAATCTCTGCTATGACCTCACAACTTAAGCACTGAATGTGTGCCTAACCTATTGCATAGTCCAGTATTTCTCATATAACAGTCTACATAGATAGGCATCGCTACCAGAATAGCTTGTTTATACCATAACATTTAAAAATGTGCCGATACTCTCATGTCACGATTGTACAACTACTGTGTTTATACCTTTCAATTATGCCGTTGTGGCATTGAAAACGTTTTGTCATTACTTGCACAAAGAAAAATAAAGAATTAAAAAAAAAAAAAAAAAAACTATACAATAACTTAAAATCTGTCTAATTGCATTGGCATGTGTTCATGAATTGCTGTTTTCAAACAGTGCTTTTGTTTTATTTTGAATTAAATTTGTTTTAGAATATATATATTTTGCTGTTAGTATAATTATGTATTTAAATTAAAACAATCAAAATAATTTATTACTAATAATAAATAGTGATGTCGCGAACCGTTCGCAAACTTGCCGTGAACGGTTCGCCGCAGTTCGCGGCGAACTCCGGTCAGCTGACACATCCCTGCCAATCTCCGGCAGACCCTCCCTCCTAGACCTTCCCACCTCCTGGACAGCCTTCTTTCTGAGTTTAGCTCAACTAAGTTAACCAAAACAGGAAGTAACAGGACTGGTTGTTTGATTGGCAGCCAAGAGGGTGTCACCAGGTTAATTCACAAACGTGTACATTTCTATTGCAATCTGCACTTTTTGCAAAATGAAAAAAAGAGAACACACTCTTCTCGCATAAAGCGTTTCAGCCAGCCAAAGTGCTTTATTGGTCTGGATTGTCCTTTTAACCCCTTAATGGCAGGGAATAGAGCAATAAAACTGCAGGGGCATAATCTATACACCAAAACCACTTCATAAAGTTAAAAGATATTTAGCACTTAGCTCTTGTTTTTTTGAGCGACATCATCATTTCAATACTAGTGTGTTATAGTCAAATAAACTAGATGAATTGATGGATAATATTGGACACATCTGAAAAGTAGAAAAGACCTTTATTAGTCACTAAGGTAGGCTTCCAAAATTGTGATTTTTGATAATGTGTGTTTACAGAATTTACATGTATGGTAGACAAGATTACAATTAGTTTTACTATACATGCAGCCCACAGTTCAATAAACAAATAAAAAAAATATGTATGCCACTAGCTATCAGTGTGTGTCTGTTTAAATTTTACATTTCACGAACAAGTCTCGATTTCAACAGCACCCAAAAAAACAATATATTCAGAATATAAAAGTATCAAAACACTTTATTAAACACCTTACCAATAAAACTAAGCTAGCACACAGTAAATCCAATTGAGAGCTAGAGCAAATCCAGACATCCACTATACACATAATACGACGTTCGTATAGTAAACAAACATAATGACGTGCCGAGTAAATCAAAGTACATAATCCAGAATATAAAGAGGGAGATATATACCGACGAAAAGAGGAGGACAAGTTAGCGAGGAGCAAATACTAGGAGCAAGTAATTGTAATCTTGTCTACCATACATGTAAATTCTGTAAACACACATTATCAAAAATCACAATTTTGGAAGCCTACCTTAGTGACTAATAAAGGTCTTTTCTACTTTTCAGATGTGTCCAATATTATCCATCAATTCATCTAGTTTATTTGACTATAACACACTAGTATTGAAATCCCCAACATATCACAGAAATATCATTTCCTGTTTAACGGGAGGTATCTTGGAGATTTACACTAGCTGATATTGTTTGTATTGTTTTATTGTTGTACTGTTTAATAAATCTCTTTGATATATTTATATTCAAAATATATTATTGTTTTTATGGTATTATGATCCGAGCTTCTTCTTTATACATTCTTTTTTTTTGTGGTAGATTTTATGTAATATATTGTCTTTTTGAATAGTTGCTGATTTCTTTTTTTATTTATTTATATATATATATGTATATATATATTTATTTATTTATTTATTTACATTTTTTATTTTATTTTTTGTTTCTTTATAAGCTTCAGCATATCCCAAAAATATTTCCAGGCCTATATATAAAAAAAGGTTAACTTTTTGTTTCTCCCCTTTGGCTTGTAATAGTGTACCCACGAGATAATTTCTAGGAAACAGAGTCTGACCACGACATCCAATCCTTCCAGCCACGTCCGTGCAAGGCAACATGCAGCAATCCGATAACACTGTTATTTTTAAGCTGACTTTAAGTTGGGATTTTTGTTGACAGCAGGAAAATCAAGAGTTTTGTTGTCTCACTGGAAACACATGGACCAAAGTGACAAAATGAATGAGGGTATATGGATATATAAAATATAGGGGGGGGGCTTGAACAACATATTTTAAAAAAATACTAAGGATCAATCTCACCATGTAAAAGCACATTAGCAGGGCTAGGCAGCCTTCAGCACTTCAGATGCTATAGACTACATCTCCCATAATGCTCTTGCAGCCGTAGTGCAGGCAAAGTATTAGGGGTATGTAGACCACAACATATAGAGTGCCAAAGGTTGTCTACCCCTGATATAGAGTGTGTCTATTACTGCAAAGGATTCTGGGTATTGTTAGTTACATCATGAACCTGGTTCATAGTAACTGGCCATATCAGTCAAAATAAGTAAAATTATGTTGTTGTCTTTTCTTCTAATTATTGTACTTGGACTGAATGTAATGATTTTTAAATGTAGCAATTATTATTTATTGCATGAACGGTCATTTGTTACCAGACAAGGCCATTTGTGCTGTAAATTAATATTCCCGTTTAGTCCAGCTATATGATAATTCATGAGTAGTCACAAATCTGAGAAAAGCTTACTAGGGCCTCGATTTAATATTTTTGAATCAGCTTTTTTAAATGATTTGATTCTTTGGGATTACCTTTAAAAATATATTTTTTTAATATAAAAATATCAAGAAAATGCTGTGTGTATAAAAAAAAAAAATCGAAATATTAAAAATCATCAAAAATGTTACCAAGAATATTTTTAATCATTTCAAAAGCTCACCCAAAAATATTAAATTGAGACCTAAGTTGCTTTCTGGGGATATACAGAGCACTCAAACATTAAAATGTGACACTATTTTATACAGAACTGTTATTGTATTTTTAAAGGAACACTATAGGCTCAGAAACACATACATGCATTCCTGACACTAGAGGGTTAAAAATCACCATTTAGGTGGCTTGTCCCCTGTTAACACTTAAAAATTAATTAAAATGTTTTTATTTTTTTTCTCCTCCATAAATCTCTATGTCAGAGTCCCTGATGTTAATATAATAACAGATTATGGAGTAATACAACTCAATTGAATGTTATTTTATAGAACACTAATGAATATTTTATGTTTTTCAGACGACCACTTAAGAAGATTGCGATATCTTAATAGATAAAATTATTTTTTCTATTACATTATTTTGTAGAATTAAGTACTATATAATTTGTATTTACAATGTGCTGTGATTAATATTTCATAGATTTAGATCTTGTCATTTACTTAAGAATTCTCCGGTTCACTATTTTTGAAAGTATTTAATGCTGCTTTGTGTGAATGTATTATTTGTGTAGCATGTTTTTTGGAGTTCAATTAAATGAGTTTCAATGAATTGCTAGAAGCTATTACTTTATATTTTAAGTGCAGATAATATCTGGTTTTTATATAGTTTTAATTATTTATTGTAAAGATGATATAGATATATTTGTTCAGCAGAGTTTCAGTTTTTATGTGAATGCACTAGTAGATGAAGGGTTAAATCTTGATCAGCGCAATCAGACCGCCCTCGCCGCAGTTTAACAGAAGGGTGAACCAAGGATGCCATCCTCTGATGAAGTGATCCTATGATCACGAAACGCGTTAGGCGGCATCCTACACTGATCTCCAGGAGAAAGCAGATTGGAACGCATCCAGAGCCGCAGTGGAACGCACGCGGCTGACAGACAGTTTTCACACAGCACGGGGAGGTCCAGACTCATTTTCATCCGGCCGGTGAGAGAGAGATATTAACAACATTGGACCCTCAGACTGTTAACTTGGTATTATCTGCTTTTTTCACTTTGAACATTTATTTGTCTTTTATATATATGTGTATGATTTTGACAGTGTATTTGAGCTAATAAAATCTTTTATAGTAAGCACTCTGTCGGCTACACTATATAACTGACACAGCTTTTGGATTTTAACCATAAGTGGGACAATTTATTTTCCCAATTATTATATTTATCTTAATGTGTACCGGTTCATGTGTATTACAGAACCCCTACTAGACCAATATTTCAGCCATTTTCATTTTTCCTACCCTTCTATATGGGAGGAAATGGTATAAGTAGCTGATACATTTTTATGTTACTTTGTGAATACATCCTAAAGCTACAATTGAAGCTCCATCTTCACAGAGTCCTGTAATCACTACTGTTAACTCAATAGGCACCCAGTACTTGTATTTTCAACCGTAGGTGGCGGCTATTTCTACAGTGACACAGTGGTTATGGCAATTCACATCTGGTCTCATTATCTAACTTTCGTAGTTACTCATCATTGTTTTTTGGTGTTTACCTATTAAGTTGTGTTTAATCTACCGCTAGTATTGTTGACTTCGTGCCCACGAGGTGATTGATAGAGCGGACCGCTGATATATTGTCCATGCATAACAGAATGGAACAGTTGGTTGATATACTCAAAAGACTCCATAAGGCAAATGATCCTGCTAGCAATTCGAGGCAGTTGATATGTAGTCCCTGTTCCTCTAGGGACCATTTTCCTCTGGTGGAGGTAGATCCGCAACGTGCACCCCAGTCGAGCATGCTTGCAACTGATTCCACTATGATGTCCGCAGTGGTTCCGAAAATCGCTCGGCCGTTCCAAGCCTCCATGTGTTGTAGCCACCACCTGAGCTCTTCTTTGGCGGTGCAGTCGAGCAGAACGTAGTCAGAGTATGAGTGCCCCAAACTAAGGTATTTGGCTTTCAGCCGTTGAAGTGCCCTGTAGTGCAGAGGGCCGGGAAATATGGCTTGGATTGACGCTGAGAGAAGGCCGACAATCCTGGCCAGTTGTCTCAAGGTAAGAACAGGGCATGTTAACGTCCGCCTGATTTCCTTTATGATGGATTTTACTTTGGTTGTTGGGAGTAGGAGTGCTCCTTTCACAGCATCTATGGTGAATCCTAGGAATTCTATTGATGGAGAGGGTTTCTTGACCGACTTCTCCCAATTGATTAGGAAACCCAGGTTTTCTATTAGAGACTTCGTCCACGAAAAAAGGTTCGTGGAGCAGATGAGGGTCCTGCGCCATTATGAGGATATCGTCCAAGTATATTATGAGTCGAACTCCTCTGCTACGTAGGAGGGCGACCACTGGTTTCATGAGCTTTGTGAAGCACCAGGGTGCCGACGAGAGGCCGAACGGTAGGCACTTGAATCGCCACACGGTCTCCTTCCATTAGAATTGTAGGAAGTGTTGGCAGTCTTCGGCCATTGGAACGCGTCTTTCAAGTCGAGCTTGATCATCCAGTCCCCTGCAAGTAAGAGGTCCCATCTTGAAGTGGTGGCATGTAACAAACATGTTTTAGGGGACGTAGGTTGATGACTGGACGAACGCCTCCACCTTTTTGGGGGACCAGGAATAGGTTGCTTAGGAAACCTGGTGTGAGAGGGTGAATTGCAGAAATTCCTGGATTTCCTGCGATATCAGGTATTG